TGGCTTAAGATTCCTACATATCATTACTCCTAAATCTCTCTCGCAGTCGGATTTCTCAATGGCATCGTTGTTCATCTGGTAACTGATTTCCCTGTTTACGTCTCCTATACTGAGTACTTTGCATTTGCATTATACATACATACATTTATACATACAGCCACCGGTTGCAACTCTATTAATAAACCGTTTATTATTATTATTCTTATTATTATTATTATTATTACATACATACACACATACAGAACATACATACATACATACAAACATTAGAGACAGAGATATATGGTTTCTTACACGAAATATTTACGTATAAACGATTAATTCATTCACAAGACCTAGAAAACAACCTCCATACAGTGTTCACTAAGATTGATGTGGAGGGGGGGGAGGGGGGAGGTGGTGGATAAACGACTGGACAAGGGCTGGGCAGAATAGAAATGATCTAAGTAAATAATACGATATAATTTCATGATAGGATAAGTTTGGTTAGGATTGGTTGCATTAGGTTACGTTTAGTTAGGTTAGGTTATATAAGCTCAGGTCAGGTTACGTTAGGTTTACCTTTATATAACCTAACCTTCAAAAGACACACCTATAGAGATCATGGGAGTTAAACCGAACTTGTGGTCTCCAGGGAGTGTTTACTTTAGTCTAGGAGAGACACTGACACACACACACACACACAGCACGAGTTACGACGGTTCCTCTCTGGTTACAGAGGACTTAAAAACACAAACAGGTCTAAACCATGAGCAACTAGCTTTAATCCTCATTCTCTCAGACACGTAAAAACACATTTTAACACTCACGTGTCGACCCTAATAATAATAATAATAATAATAATAATAACAATAATAACAATAATAATAATAATAATAATAATAATAACAATAACAATAACAATAATAATAATAACAATAACAATAATAACAATAATAACAATAATAACAATAATAATAATAATAATAATAACAACAATGATAACAATAACAATAATAACAACAATAACAATAATAATAATAATAATAATAATAATAATAATAATAATAATAATAATAATAATTCAGTAAAATTGTCACAAAGGTTTACAATTGGATAACCATGTTTACAAAATATACAGCTATAGAGTACAGCATGAATATCAACAAAGTAGGTATACGGTGCACGTAGGCCATAGGGGTATACCGGTTTCCTGTGTACAGACAGTGGAGGTTAACAACAATGGTAAACAGTAAGGCAACTTGACACAGGATAGCCGACAAAGCTGTCACTCAGGTGTTTATTTCCAGGTTAAAGATATGTTTACACTAAATGGTAACAATGTAAGAGAGTGTGTGTGTCTGTGTGTGTGTTAGCATAAAAGGTTTACACTAACTGGTAACAGTAAAAGACATATTGCGTGTGAATGTATTTGTTCTCTCTCTCTCTCTCTCTCTCTCTCTCGTCCGAACCGCTTTAAAAGATTCAGCGAGGAGTGTCCACGAAGGTCTCGTAGCTTAATCCCAAGTATGTCACCTTGCTCTGCCCTAGAGACATTCTGGATTAGTGACGACTCAACCCACGTGGGCCAAAGGTACGTGTGAGACGCAGCCCCCCACGACATACGACCCACGTGGGCCAGGAGTTATGTGTGAGCACCCCCCACCCATCACATGACCCACGTGGGCTTGGAATTTTCAAATGATCGTGTGAGAACACCAAAAAAAGGCCTGAAAATTACACCAATACTTAATGTGTTCACCTTCCCAACATTACGTAATTAAACGAAAGATCATCTATCGAGAAATTCTGTATATACAGTAGTGATATTTAAATTAGATAGTAGGCAATCTTTAAAAAAAAACCTGTTTGGTATTTAAGCAAAACGGTAACTTAAAAACTAATAATAATAATAATAATAATTATCGTGTTCTTATTTATTGTGCTTTATTCTTGTGTGTGTGTGTGTGTGTTTGTTTGTTTTTTCACTCGTCAACCATTTAATTAATAGTGAGAATTTGGCCCGTGGCGTAGATGCGGACTGGCGCTCCTGTAATTGCTTAAATAACAACTAACTGATAACACAGCGTCATGTATATTATCTTTGTAATTATTTCTTGAATTTTTTTCGCGAGTTTTACGAAGTTTTGTGTTTATGTGTATATCATTTTTGGGTGAAGGTCTGAAAATGAGATTATTTTTATTAGTTTTGCTATTGCATGGTATTATTATTATTATTACCGGCATTATCTTTATTACTGTATTATTATTATTATTATTATTATTATTATTATTATTATTATTATCATTATTATTATTATTACAACCAAAACCATCGTTACCAAAACAAAACTAATACTATAAAAAAGTATCATATCAATCTCCTACACAAAGACTTGGATTATAATGGCAACGAAGTGGAACAGAGACTCTACTGGTATACCATAGTAACGGTTTAGCTTGTTTTAACTTGCTCCAATTCGGGTCAAAATAATGTTTATACAGTACGATAGTTTGGGGATCTTCACTATTGCCACCACCCATCTCGGATAATACTGTTGTTGTTGTTGTTGTTGTTGTTGTTCACTTTGTATCTATTTTACTCTGGCTAAATAAACTGTATGATGCCCTTTGATATTTTCTGGCATTATACAAGCATCAATACAGGGAAAATAAGCACATAAACCCCCTAGTCCTATTAGACCCCAAATCCTAATACATCTCAAGTCCTACCGGGCCCTCAATGATGTTAAAATAACCCATTAGGACCTCTGTCTTAAGGGGGATTATTACCAGAGGTTCAAAATTCACTTTATACTGTGCTTGTGGGTGTGTGTGTGTGTGTAAACAATAGTGCATATACAGTACATAGACCTAAACCTAAAAAAGCCATGCTAATTATGAACCCCTTTGTATAATCCCTTAAGAAGCTCGATTCCTAATGGGCCTTGATCCTAATAACTTCACCTGGGGCCAATTAAAACTAGGGAGTTGGGAGGGGGCTACGGCATTTGACCAGCCAACCTACACCGACACACGTAACTACTTAACTACTTGGCAATGTCTCCTGTCTTAATTACATAACAGCTCCTCCTCCTCCTCCTCCTCCTCATTTAACACAACGCAAGATATTAAGAAAGATTTTTATTGACGCACAGAACATAATCTGGTCCTTAATAAATGGTTCCTGGGAGTTTGGTGGCAATAATGAGAAAACAAACTGATTATTGAATGTTTATGTGATATAAGTTAAGTCTCAATCTCAATATAAAGAATCGTATAGACAGACAGATACATACATACACACACCTACAATATAGATAAATAGACATTCACAGATAGGCATACATAAGTAATACATATCTACAGTGCCATATATAGACAGCCAAACAGATTAATAAGAGATATATATATAGACAGATACAGATATTCAAAGTTCTCCAGTAATACACACATACATACACCTGGATCATACTTGTACACCTTTTGCTTTTAGTTGTTTTGCTTGATTACAGGTAAGACGTTCATTGGTCTTCGTCGTTACGGATATAAAGGGCGGATCCGGGTGTTTTAGGGGTGTGTGTGTGTGTGTGTGTGTGTGTGTGTGTGTGTGTGTGTGTGTGTGTGTGTGTGTGTGTGTGTGTGTGCATAAGGGGGTTAGCCTCACAAGGGGTAGGGGAAGGTGGGGGGGATTACCGAATTTCTATATCGTCGAATTTTACGAGTCCCTTTCTATATCGAATCCTTATTAACATACAAGAATTAGCCACTAAACGACTGTTTGTGTATAGTAGCTGTTCCGTTAAACGATTCAGTGTTTATCGAGTTACTGCAGTGCTTGAAATCATAATTATACATTACAGTTAAGTAAAATATTACGATAATATTGACAAATCTTTCGAGTTTAGTGTGTACCGTTACATGTGTGAGTATTTATTTGTTTTTATTAATGTATGTGCATATGTGTAGGATTATGTGTGTATGTAATATGTGTATATACTAAATGTATACCTATGCATATTTGTGTATGTATTTGTATGAAAATAAAGGCGAAGGTATATGTATTAGTGTATTTGTGCGTATGCTTCCTGCTGTATTAATATGTCGACTTATAGATAAAATGGTAAACAAAGATTACAAAGCATCAACAGGAACAAGGTAACGATGGAGAGGTCTTTGGTAAACGTTGGAGCGTGTGACAAGCGTTTTAATCCAATTGCAAACGTCTCTCGTGTCTTCTTAGCACATTTAAAAAGATGTTGGTCACACACGAGTCTGTTCCTAGTGTCTACCGAATAATAATAGTGACCTTTCATGTGTTAGAGAGTTATATCTGGATTATTAAAGATTACCAGTCTCTTCTCCATGCTTTTGTCTCATTGTGATGCATTCAATAATCACGGTTTCACCCGGCACATAACATATGTTTGGTGATCCGTCTCTCAGTATGAAGCCAACTTTCATATCACCTCTTAATATTCGCGTCTTTCAACAGATATTTATGACGAGGAAAAATTACGATGAGTAGAATATTCCCGGGAAAATATGGTTAAATAAACAAGAGACATAAGTGATCCCTTCTGACACTAGGCAGATAAAATGATAGTGAATGTGGTGGTGTTAGTGTGGTGACCGCAGCACCACAATATTCACCACATCGTCGTCTGCTGCACCAAAAACTTCGTCTGCAAGCGACCGACCATCTAAGAATAAAAGCCATTATTTTTATTGGATATCTTACCTTGTCTTCCAGTTGTTGGCTCTTTAACTGAAGCCGTTAGCATAGGGTAAAAGATCTTTGGCCACAAGACGGCAAAACATCCTACCACTATTGCTAAAACAAATATCGTTTTCCCCGTACCAAATTCACCCGACATTTTATCTGTGTTCCTTCACCGCCCACAAGAGGCCACTACTGAGCCGCCCACCTACTACACCACCCACCAAACCTCCCAAAACACTTTCATTATTCACAATTACCATTATTATCCACTTTTTTATATATTTTATTATTTATTATCTACTAATCTTACTTATATAAATTTATAAACTTGAGTTATAAGGGAATATTGAGTATTTTTTGAGTTAGTTTTGTGAGGTGGGAGGCCGCGGGGCTATTGATGTAAACAAAGTACAGGGATGGCTCTCTCAACAAGTGAATTAACCAAACTTCTCGGGTATTTATTATATTATCCTTTTGTTCTTTTTTATATTCTGAGATGCATTACTCATATAGACTATATATTATATTTGGTTCTCTAATAGGAGGTAGTTTTATTCGTTTAACCGAGTTTTGATGGGTGTTAACTCACGGCAGAGCATAAAACCAGTGACAGTGTATTACTCTATTTTTACTTTTTGTGTGTTATTTGCTGTGGATGTAGTTAATAAGTGGTTATTGTTACACCTAAGTATCACGGCCTAAATCGCAAGTGGATTTGTAGTTCAAGGTCACCACTTTGTTAGGTGTTTTAAAGGCTAAAAGTGACTCATGAATTTGTAGGAGTGTCTTACATCAAAACACACCACCATCTTATCACATGAAGTTTCCCCACTGAATTACTTCTAATGATAATGTGTTAATCTGCAAGTAGTATGTGTACAAATACTTACTGTCCCAACACCTCACTGCTTGTGTCTCTTTTGAACTTTTGCAAATAGATTAAAATTGTCACAAATCTGTTTGATTTTGGTAGAATGAAATTACTGAGCATTAGTAGTGTTCAGTGGTTCATTCTTGTTAAAATAAGTTATAGTTAAGTCTTGGTTTTTGTCAATTTGCTAAATCACTGAAGGTATATACCTAAGCAGTGTCAGCAGAGGAGAAGGTAACTTTGGTAATAATGAAGGAGATGGCTAACACCAAATGGAATTGATAGATAGAAATCATTAATTTTTTCCAGAGATGTTGTTTGGATAATAGTAAGGTATTATTGCATTAGTCACCTGGTATGGCATACTGGGTATTTGGGATGATGACGTTGGCCTTGACCTGCACCATTTCAAATCAATTCTGCCTACATTATGGTGGGCTAAGTTAGGTTTGCTTGTTGAAAACTGTTTTTCTGATGGTTTTTGTTGTTATTCATTTGAATCTGCCATTGGTTTTTATCAGAAATCAATCGGTTTTTACCTCTCCCCCACCCAAAATGCCGATTTCCCATGCTGTCCCCCATTCTTGTTAGGGGGGAGGTGGCATATCTCATAAACCATTGGAAAAACATAGTTTTCTCTTCAAAATATATACAGTTCTCTCCTCGACTTACGACGAAATTCCGTCCCGATGACCAGGTCGTAAGTCGAATTGGTCGTAAGTCGAAAAGGCGAAAATAATACATTGAAATTCTAGAATGGGTGTCTCTTTTTCTTCTCAGCACCACGAGAACTCTCACTTTTACGCTTACCAGCCATTTTAAAAGGAATTACAAAAAAAAAAAAAATTTCAGTACACAGCGCGATCACTAACGTCAGAACTCGAAAATACGTCATTTGAAAAATATTTTATACGACCACACCGGTCGTACGTCCGGGTTGTCGTAAGCCGAGGAGTACCTGTACTGACTTATGAAAATTTAGTGATACCTGTAGTAAGTAATAAAGGCAATATGATAAGTGTCTCTTTTAATTGGATTTTTTTTCTTCTATTTTCTCCACCCTAAAATCTAGATTTACCTATTAGTGGGCAGGGCATGAAAGAAGAAGGAAAATGCAAGGTAAAAATATGATGAAAACTGGTCATATGGCAGTATATTGATGTCTCTAGATGCTTTGCAGGTGAAGAAATAAATTGTTTACCATAAATATGGCGCCATATTTTCTTGTGTGCCCGCAAAGTCAATGCTTCCTTCCAAAACTATAGCTGACTGAATTTGTTATTTGTCAATATGTACTGTACAGTATAAGAAACGATACAGGATCTCCTCAGGGTTTATACACTTTAAAAATGGGCTCCAATACTTTTATTTATTATCTAACACCATTCCATTTCTGTTTTTCATGTCTTTTTCTACCCAAATTGCTTATATTTTTCCTCTGCTGCACAATATATTTCAGAAAGTCTTTCACGTATACAGTTTCAGAATCATATGGTTTAGATTCAACTCCATAACTGGTGTTTGGATAGCTTACCTTTAAAAATGAAGTTTCATTGGACTTAAGTTAACTTTAGGTTCTTATTCTTATTGTACAGTACTTACAGAAAGAGACAGTTACCCATCTTCTGAGTTATCTAAGCACTTTTGACACTGTGTACTGATTGTTCCCTTATTTATCGGCTTAGGTTAGGTCAGGTTCTGTTAGGTTCTTTGCATTCTCGTATCGATTTTGTTACTTAATATCATCAAAACATCTCTGGAAATTTTGGTCAAATTCCATAGACGCCTTCTGGTGTTAGCCATCTGTTCCACCTTTACCTGTACTTTTATATGTTAAGATGTAAACCTCAAATACAAAGCACTTCTCGTGGAAAGAATTGTGCCTGTTATTAATGTGGTGCCCCATAGCTAAGGCATTACCACAGGTACAAGTATTATTGTATTTTAGGGGTGTTGGCTTAATGCTTGCTTTTTCTCCTTCATACCATATTTAAAAGTGTGTTTTTATATGTACTTCACACATCTGGAACACTCCTCTCTCTGCATCTACCCTTTCCTCTTTACATTATTACTTTTACACGAATGCCTAGTATTCCTAAACACCTTTGCCGTCTTGACGAATTAAACAAAATCATTAAACTACATAACAGTTGAATTTGGCAGGAAACAATTCATTGAGTACTGTACTCGTATATTGTTCAATGGTTCATTCCTACTAAAATGTAACAGTTCTATGATGCCACAGCAAATGCTAATCATAGTTAGGAAGGTGGAAGTAAAATTGCATGAATGTTACTTTATGTATATGTCAGTGTCATTTAAGTGAGCATTTTTGATGCTGTATACAGAGAAAAATATACCCTGCATGGCTTTTAATGAGTTTCAATAAGTATGGAATGTAGGAAATATACAGCTCCATACTGTATCTGGCAGGCAGTGTGACAAAACTACTAACTCACAAACAGCCCAGAAGTCCATCATAACCACTGTCATGTCTGTATAACACAGTTCCTCATTCACCGATGTTACTAAGAATAGATTCGAGACAACATGACAACAGCAACGCAGCAATGTCGGAACAGGATAAACATCTTAATAGAAATATATAGTTCATATGTTGACAGCTGTTATATTTTAGTGTATTTTGTTCTACATCTTTGAATGAGTAAGATGATAATTGTAGCAGTGATTATTTGTATTTATTAATTATCTATGGTAACAGGTAAACATCACTTGTTTGTCCTCCGAAACGCTAACACGTGGTCGCCCGGAAGCTTTGCCCAAAACTGTGTGACGTCAGTGATGAACTGTACTATTAGCTCTGTAAGGTTTTAAACTCTGTGATGGTTGTGTCATTTCAGTATACCATAACATTTAGGAGATATAATTTACAGGAATGCTAATAATTCCTATAATTTTTCAGAATTTTGTCAGAAGAGTCAGCAGATTCATCAACCTTAGAACAAATAACACATCAGATTTTTCAAAATTTTACCAAAGAAGATTATTTCAAGTGTAAGTACAGTATACAGTACAATTATACATGCCTAGAGAAAATGTTCAATAGTTTTTGCAGTAACCTATCATGAATTATATTCCATGTTTATAATTAGTTGTCAGTGCCATGTAGCAGTACAGTACCGTACTTGTGTTCACAGTGGGAAGTGCTCTCGTATTCCTGTTGCAACAGCCAGACCTCCTGCCAAGTCCAGCACAGCGACTCTCAGCAATAACCATCTTACATGAGCTGTATCGTGGAGAACCTCCACCAAATAATCCCTTCCTTCCGATCTTTGTAAACATCTTGGTAAGTGATTAGTTCTACTCGTGCTGGTCATTGTTTCTTCTAATACTGTACCTTCATTTGTAGCATGAATAAGTCATTGTTGTTTAGTCTCCAAATATTTCATGTTACACTTTATCATTCTAGTAATTTTTTACAGCTTCTTTTGTTAAAAATTATTCCTTTAGCTACAGTGTTCTGATAAATCTGTGACATGTAAGTTATTCCCTTATCCAGGTAACACTCTACAGTATACAGTAACATAATGGAAAATTTAACCTTTCCTTATTTTCCCTTAGTTCAAGGTGAGCCACGACTTGTAACACAAAAGAGAACCACAGTACTACCATTCATAAGATAAATTTGTGTACTTGTCAATATTTAATGCATGTGCAGTCACTTCAAAGGGTACCCTTAAGAAGGATGATATTGATTTGGGAACAATGTAAAGTAAAAATCATAATGTACAATGAAAACCCAATACTGTACTGTAATGTAACTCAATGTTTTTATATTCTTTTATAAATCCATGTGTACAGGATTACCTCTGGGCTGAATCAAATCGTTTGGCGGTAATCAAATCAAATATTAAAAGTGGCATCCCTGTTGTGAAGGGGTTAATGATGAAAAATACTTTTTACAGTACAGGTACATGCAGTACATTGTTTCGATTCCATGTCAGAGATCATAATTATGTCCTTGTCACTCTGATTGATCATAAAGTACTTGTTTTAGAGAACTGAATTAAGTAAAGATATTTTATCCACTTTTGTTAATCATTCAGTTAAGAACTTTGAAAATGGCCAAAGTTATAGGGAAAATTATGTTTATAGTATCCTTGTTTGAGTGTGGGATACAACACTTACAACCTGGTGATCCATGTAGATGATAGTTCATGGTGTCCGATGCTTATAGGGATGGATGTTCTTTTAGTGCTCTACCATAGGTTGTGTGAAGCATCAGGCCCGGGTAAACTAGATGGATACCTTAGGGTCTTCTGGTGGAAGGGGAACACCATAACAGAACATATCTATTACAACAGGTAGTAGCTTGAATGAATGGGGAAGTGTATGGTTTGCTCTTGATCTTTGGCTACTGTAAACAAAATGGGAAATGGTGTGCAGGATCTCAAGAAAAAATATAATTTAGTTAAGTTTTACTCATCTGTGTTAAATCTCCTCTAGCACCCGCCTGATGACGTGGCTAAAGGAACGGGTAAAAAGTTGGAATATGCTGGCCAACTACCAAAAATTAGCCCGCCCGAAATCGTCTTTCTTTCCACCCTTATTACCGACAAAAATAGTAAAGAGGTAAGTTCAGTGTTCCCTGGTTTGGTTAGGCTTGCGAGAGCTTTTATGTGTTGCTCAGTTTTGTAAACAAGCACCGGGAATTTAATACAATGCAATTACTCATATGGACTTGAGTGCATTATTTTTTGTTTTTCAGGAAAATTTATTATTTTGTGATAATATTTTATAAACGTGGCACCAAATGAACCTAAATTATATGAAAATTATGATGAAATTGCCTACTGTTGTGACTTCTAACTCTTAATTTTCTTATTTTATAGTTTATCTTCTTTATTATTAAGTAGCATTGGAGCATTGAAAAGATATTCCCTTAACTTTTATGGTTTCTTATTGCTGATGTAATTGTGTTTTACTAACCTTATTAATGCATTTAAAGACCTTAGTTTTTGAAGCACAGTAATACTAATCACATTATAAACAATAAATTAATTTCTTGAAACATAATTACTTGATCTTTTTTCTTATTTGTTTAACTCTACCTCTTCACTTTGGATCGTTGGATGCTTGATGTGTTTCACTTTAAAAATAAACAACGTCTTAATACTACCAGTCCTCCAAAGATGCTAGTAAGCATCTGTCATTCAAAGATATCATTGTGTATCCTATTTTAAATCAACAATTGAATGGCCCAGCTTATTCAGTTACTCTTTCTCCTTGTTTTAGCAGTCACTTGAATACCAAAATATAGCACAGTAATTACAGTACCGGTATATCAAGCATCCTTAGTAACATATGCTCGGAGGGACTAAGACACAGGTATCATCTTATAACTATATGATGTTCCTAATGTTCCAGTTATTAAAGAGAACAGCAGCACAAATAATGAGCCTCGATGTTACAAACCACCCGCCAATTGACACCACTGCCCTTAGACTGAGCTTAGCAGAACTCCTCGCAGAACGTCCAGATATAGCCAAGAGTGCCGTCCCCATAGTCTACTCCCATCCACAGCCGTCGCCCAGTTCAGGGTACAGTGCACTAAAATTGTCTTCTATGCCATGTTCCTCAGCTTACTGTATTTGGGTGTCTTGCACAATACTTTATAATAATTTAACAAAGTATAAAGAAGAAAAAAAGTGTTATACAGGTAAGTAGATAACAGTGTGAGTAATGTGACGATACATGACATTAGTTAGTCTGCTTCTTCCTGATTAGAGCTAAGCTCATGTATTGGTTTATTCGTTACCATGCCATTATGTAATGATATTTTGTAGTATTCTTTTTCAACTGCAGAGTATATCGTCTTGCCTTGAAGATGACAATGGTGGTTAGCATTAGTACCCCAGTCCTTCATAAGGAACCTGATAAAGCCAATTTTGTTTTCAGCAGCAGAAAGAAACTTCTTAAATTGTTTTGGTTTTGGTTGATGATGCTCTGCTTGCACTCCAAAGTGTGTTTTTTAATGAGCTTTTATATTTCTATTAAAGGTCTCAAATTCTGAATTGTCTCCTACTATAAGCCAGTTGTAAAACATACAGTAGTTATTTGGTTCATGTGAAGTATGTTTGCATTGTTGATTATGACGAACCAATTTGATCACCTCAGAGAAGCCATCATCTTTTATACATTCATTCTTTGTGCTTCTTTTTTGCTTTCTGACATATTTACAAATGCTTTGAGAGATGATGTAATGCGCAATTTCTGGAAATCTGGGAATATTTCTCCGTGACCCGGAAAATTCAGGGGATGAGGGATTTTTTCCGACTTTGAGAGAATCGTGATGTTACCCAGAAATCTCTCATTCCCAGAAGTTTTCTGCACCAATTGTTCCTGCTAATGGAGATATCACTTTTATATTTTTGTTTGTTTTGCAAACAGCTGTTTAATGGGATAATAAAATGTCATTATCTGTAGCTTAGGTGCCATATATAAAAATTTTTGAAGCCGTAGCTACATTAGTTATGATACTTGTTCACATTTTCAGGTTGTTAAGTGAGGTTGGTCAGGTGAAGAGAACCTGTGAAGCATTACTCTGTGGTCCAGTGCCAACTTTAGCCCAGCAGTATTTTACACCAGAAATTATTAGACTAACTCCTCCACTACACATAGCTGAAGATGAGGTGAGACTTATACCAGTAATGTACTCGAGGCCACTAAGTCAATGACCAAGACTCACATCACTGACTTGTACCTTAAGTCTTTCAATAAATCTTCATCATTAATATTTAAAAAGACTTAGATTGGTTATAGTATTAAGTTAAAAATACAAACAATGAATGTATAGATTGGCATTGCTGGTAGAGTAGTTCATTCATGCCTTTCAATCTGAATGCTAGATGTCCGATGTCTCAAGTTTTTTTTTTTTTTTTCATTTTTTGAGGAAGACCAGAACTAGGGAGCTCAGAAGTCCTCCTATCTCACAAAAGTTATTGAAGAAGTCTTTGAGGACTCAACGTTCTCGGGCTGTTTTTACCAATACTCCTAGGTTTTGTATCTCTGTGGACCCAGTCTTTAATTTCATGCATTCATCCCATTCTCTGCCTTCACCTCGCTCTCATACCCTCAATTTTGCCCATTAATATTTGTTATTATCCACTCATCCCTAATTATATGTCTATAGATTCTCATTTTTCTTTTTCTGTACATTTCAAGTACAGTACAGTAAAACCTCGATTAACCAACTTTCGGATTAACCGTCAATCCCGAACCCCTAAAAAAAAAAAATTACGGGGGTTAGACCACCCGGGCACAGGTCACTGACCCACATTGGGGCCTTGGGGGCGATAATGTAATAATATTAATAATCATAATGCTAATAATAATAATAATAATAATAATAAAGAACCATAAAGAAATGCAAAATTGAAAAAAAAATTAACAGTGAGAAACAATGTACGTTATATGTATGTTGTGTTGTCAATAGTAAGAGAAACAATTGAGACCCTGCAATTGTGTGTAAATGAGGCAGAAAGTCAGATCAGCAACCTGAGACTTGGTCACAATTTTTGTGATGACATGTTCTTTGACTTTTTCATTTTTTATTAACGGTTTCTGTGCAGGTTCATATTTATTTACTAAAGTGGTTAATGTTTTAAAGCAAATTCTATTGAAATATGAATGGCAAATGAACAAAAAGGAATAGAGGGACTTAAATGAGGTAGGTTAGGGAAAGGTACTTTGAAAATGTGTGTATTCTTTCCGTAGACTGTAGGTACTATTATCCGACCTTTTCGATTATCCGTCGGCCCCTTCCCCCCATATGTGGTCGGTTAATCGAAGTTTTACTGTATTTCTCTAAGTTTTTGCTAATTTTAGTACTTTTTTATTTGCTTTCCAGGGCAGGCATGACTTATTAAGCTTATTGTTCTAAACTGGGTGCACTCTAAGGGTCCAGGCTTTTTAGATAATAATACAAATATTGATTTTTTGAAATCAATGGGAAAGTCTCCTTTGAAGTACTGTATATAGAATTACATATTTTAGTCAAAACTTTGATCTTATTCTTGCCCATTTCTTTTATAAATTCTGCTGGAAGCTGATCAACTCCACAAGCTTTATAAATTTTCATTTTGCTCACAGCTGCTTCAACTTCTGTTTCCAGAATTGGCATTTTGATCTTTATTTCCTTTTAGTTTCTTACTTCTACACTATCCTTATCTTTGTATAATTCTTTTATGTACTCTATCCATCTCTCTTTTACTTCTGCCACAAACAGGATCTTATTTTCTTTGCTTTTAATAGTCCCACCCCATTTATTTTATTTTTTCTGGTTCATTTGTTTAATCTTTTTGTACATTTACCCTGTACCTATAATTTTGCATTCTGTCATTACATTCCATCTCCTTGCATTTCCTTTCTAGATATGAAGTTTTAGCCTCACAAAACTCATTACCGGGATATAATGAGACCCACAATCTGCCCCTGGATAAGTCTTGTTTTGGGTTTTTGAATTTCTGACTTTCTTTAATTAAAATGTAATCTACTGTATTTTATTCTTGACAATGTTGTTTACATTGTCCTGCAGTGAGACCCATGTACAGAGATGTCTTGGGTGTTGTTCTAACCAAGTGTTTGCAATTATCGTCTTGTTTTCCTTTCAAAAATCCATTCATATTTCTCCTCTCTTATTTCTGGTACCCACCCCATGTTGTCCTACTTCTGGTGCTACTTTTCCTTTCCCAACTTATTGTTAAAATTACCCATTATGAGACCTTCATTTGAGAACTAAAGGGGATTAATTCCAGGAAAACCAATGTGGCTGACCTGCATTTCATTTTCTGTGAGAGGTAACCTTTGCTCCCAATTTCTGTTTTTCAGAGCAGTCGTGGTAGTGAGGGTCTGACTGTTTATTTATGTACCAACCCGGCCACCAGTGTCTGGTTTTCTGAGTCGAAACTAATAACTTGGTGTTTACTTTATACCTGTGACTCTTTGTTCCAAGCTTAACCACACACAGGGTTTTAGGATTAACTCTCTCTCTCTCTCTCTCTCTCTCTCTCTCTCATTTTTGTGTTAAATGTTGGGTTATGTGAAAATTTGAATTTGCCCATAGGTCATTCACCTCACTCAAAGTCCACAGGTGGTATTTTGACCAAAGTTTAAGGGAATGGTCCTGAGGTTGGAAGGTGGTTGAGTCTCCAAGGGATGGAGAGAAAGGTGTGTGTGTGTGTTTTTTTTTTTTTTTTTACTATGCTTAAGTACACAAATATCCTATATTGGATGGAAATTTGGCTTAGCATTTTCTTACAGCAATACTGAATTGATTTTTCCAACAGTTAGTATGGATAACTTCGGTTGACCGCGCTGAATACAAGATTATGTACGATTCAAGCATGTGCGTCCTTAGTGGTGGTGATGCAGAGGCTAAACGATTAATGGCTAAGGCCTTCAAGGAGACGTTATCATTACCCCAGCAACAGCACCTCCTGGCTGAGCTAGACAAGGACCCTAGAATGGTTTATCACACTGGCTTAACCCCTCCCAAGGTGAGTTATGTTGATGTCACTTCATACCACACACACATCCTACATCTGTCATCATCATTATTACTGCCACTTAATGGCTATTTTCCACACTTTTTATTTTTCATCCTTGCCTCCATTGTTACACATCCTACTGTTATTATGTCTATCAGTCTTACCTGTGATCTTTTTATTTATTTCAACACAAACCTCTTCCAGATGTTTAAACAGTTTGATGTGATGGAAGAGAGCTCTAGCCCACATAAGACAGTAACTCATGTGTCATGCAGTAACTCATATAAGGCAGTAAATTTTGTACCAGAGATAATAACTCATATGTTATGGAGTAACTCATGTGTCAGGCAGTAACTCATGTGCCAGGCAGTAACTCTTGTACCAGAGACAATAACTCATGTGTCAGAGGTAGACACTGTGGGTTGACTCCGTAGCCAGTAAGCAAAGTTTTGAGGGGATGAAAAGATGACATTTCAATTGATGAAAATCAGTGGATTTCATAGACATCCACAGAATTCTCCAAACTGTGAAAATAAATCATGTGATACAAGGTAGTCAACTAGAGATTTGAAATTAGGATGATTGAAAAGATCTTTTTCAGTGATGTCATAGTTTGGGTAAAATAAGGTACTATCCATCTTACTGGAGGCTCTGGACTGTGAGTTATTCAGTCATCTTTGCTGATATGTTTACATTTTTTACATTATACTGTACTTCTGTCGTTTTATTCGTTGTTTTACCGCTGATGGCTGTAGAAAGCCCTGCTGTATGTCAGTCACCCTCGGTCTTTGTACAGTATCTTACTTTAATGCACTCTCCTTCCCATCCTGCATCATAATATGGTGTGTCTGCTACTATACACTATAACCCCAGACCCTATGTATTTAGCTGCCTCAGGCTACTCACCTTTCCATCATAGTATAAAGTCTATCTTGTCTTTTCTTACAATGATATCACAAACAAAGATAAAATTTTTACAATAATACATGAATTCTTTCAGTGTGTAATTTTCCTTTTACACAGCAGTAAGTTATTTCTTCCTACAAGAGGATTTGATCAGCCAGGTAAATTACTGTCCCTTACTAAGCAAAGTTGGACAATATTGAAGTGGGTTCTTCCTATCTGTCCATCTGCTCTTGGAGATTACTCAAAAATCTTTTCAGTTTTCTTCATAAAACTTGGTATACAAAAACTTAGTATTAAAGCGACACTTTTCATTATACATTGTACTACACAATACAGTGGTCCCGCGGTTAACGAGATTTCGGTTAACGAGTTACCTTCCATAAGATTCTTAACTTCAGTTAACGAGCAATCCCTCGATCAACGAGTTTCTTACGAGCCGACCTCAACATGTTTTCGCTTGCATTTGGCGGTCCACCAGCTGTAGTATTAGTCCGCCAATACAGTAATTGGTTCTAGGGCTTAAATTCCTTACTATTTTAGTAAATATCAAGAAGTTTATACTATTCAATAATTTTAAAAGTTTAATATTAAATTTTTTAGTCATTTTAACAATTATTGAACTTAATTGAAGTACAGGAAACTAGTTTTGTGCGCGCCAAGTACCCTGTCAACACACCAAACAGGCGTCAGTCTCTGTGTCTTTTCAGTGGAGGTAACATCTTGCTTGAGACTCTTCAACTAATTGCTTTTTTCTGTGTTTCCAAGCAAATTATTGGTCATTTTGAATTCTATTTTACATATTGACAATATATAATGCAGTGCAGTGTTGATTTAAAGAAACTAATCTTGAATTACACCAAGAGAACTAAAATTTTATGGGTGAAATGGCACCATGGGGTGACTTCTCTTCCACCCCAATGCCTTCTCTTCTCCCTTCTCCTCCACCCCCATTCTAATTCCCATCATCATCATCATCCAGGAGCCTTCTACATACACACCTCAAAGTAAGTGTACTTTTCTACCTTTTTTGTTAAATTTAGGCAATTTTCGGTGAGCTGGAACCAATTACCTGTACCCAAAAACCCATTGAAACAATGGTTTCGGTTAACGAGATTTTCGGTTAACGAGCAACCTTCTAGAACGAATTGTGCTCGTTAACTGAGGGACCACTGTACTCTAATTTTAATCATTACTGTATTTGTTTGGTCAGGGAAATAGATCAGTGCATCATCTTGTTTATATCATCACCACCACCATTTTATGGTCATTTTACAGTCATTTTCCACACTTGTGCTGGGTTAGCTGCTTGTATAATAACCGATAACTTGCCTCCCCAAACAGCTACCAGATCTGGTGGAACACAACCCGTTAATTGCGATTGAAGTTCTACTGAAATTAATGCAGTCGAGCCAGATCACCGAGTATTTTAGTGTCCTCGTCAATATGGAGATGTCCTTGCATTCCATGGAAGTAGTAAATAGGTAAGATCATGATTTGCATCTCTCAATATTTTTCCTTACATTAAAAACTTCTCTTAATTACTGTAAATTATATCCCAAAAATATTTGCATTATGGCATAGACATTAAAATTGTGTGTTACAGGATAAAACGAGAAGCAAGTGCATGTTTTGTTGGGGTATTGTCCTGTAGTGTAGAGAGCTGTCATATAACACATACCTATACAGTATATAGAGTGGATGAGAATTAACTAACACAGAAATCTTGGAATAAACAATGTGTATGATGTGTGTTTTATATGATGTATGTTGTGTATGGTGTATAAATTATGTTATGTGTAGTATGTGTGGTGTATGTTGTGTTGTACAGGTAAACTTTGATTTATGATCCATTTACGATATTTTGCTTTAACGGTGGTGGTGCTATAAGATCACCTCCCTATTTACGATAAAAAAATTGCATTAATAATGACCATTGTACAACCAAACTCACCGCCACGCAGAATATGAAACACATCTCTCGCTCTACTTGTCAGCCACAGCATCATCTACCTGCGCTCCTCCACACAGCCACTCGGTGCACTACAGTCCCACGCTTTTTTCCATGACTATGCAGCTGTCCGTGATTGTGTAACTCAACAATTATCAATCAGTATCGTTGTTGTTACTTATAATCAGTGTGTTTTTTCCTTATATAGTGAGTATATCACTAATGTTCAGAGTGTACTTTGTTTTGGTGAGAGTGAAGTGATTTTTGCTGTTTTTTTGTGGCTGCTCAATGCTTTGGCTCTGTTTTTGTGAACATGATGTGAGCAGTGTCGGCTGCTATCATTGTTGTTACGTTGTCATCAATATTTCTTTTTCTTACGGTGAGAGGATAACACTAACATTCAGATTGTAAACTCTGTTTTGTGATTGTGAAATGTTTTTGTTCTGTTTTTGTGACTGAAGTGAGCAATGTAACTTTGAAAATGTCTAGCATGTGTGTTGCTGAGGCTTCTGTGTCTGGGAAAGCCAAGGTACCCAGGAAAACCATGTCTCTGGAGGTGAAACTTGACATTGTGAAGTGACCAGACATGTTCTTAATGATGTGGTGAGTGTTTAATTGTTTTTATTTATTTTATTAGTCTAGGATTTTCTATTCCAGTGATAACATGTGTGTGATGGACTGTCTTGGAATATACCCCCATTGAACCCCATGTTATAATGAACTCGATTTACGATATTTCAATTTGCAATGAGGTTTTCAGGAACATAACCTCACTGTAAATTGAGGTTTACCTGTATGTATGATTCATGTTGTGTGGTGTATGATGTATGTTGTATATCTGTACTGTATTTGTGATGTACCTTATGTTGTGTATGTTGTGAGTGGTGTATGATGTATATTGTGTAGTACTATGTATAATTTATGGTGTGTATGATATATGACAATAATGCCAAAAATTTACAAAGGTTTAAATTCGTATCTGTTGTTTATGTCCCAGCCAGTCTAAATAACCCTCCCCTGGCAGATTAACAACGGCCGTGGAGTTGCCATCGGAGTTTGTACATCTATATATTAGTAACTGCATCAGCACCTGCGAGACCATAAAAGATCGCTACATGCAGAACAGACTGGTGCGACTGGTGTGTGTGTTCCTACAGTCTCTCATACGCAATAAAATTATCAACGTACAGGTGAGTCCTCTATTGAAATTGTCTGAATGGGATGTTAGGTCTTTAGTCTGTACAGTATTTGCCAGTAAGGTTGTGTAGCAGATAAGGGCTTATTTACCATGTTGTGCAGAAGGAAAGGTCAAGGATATTGACAGGTGTTTCCAGTTGATGCTGTGATTTAGAAACAAATTGAGATGAGTTAATATTGATGGTATATATATTGTATACATAGTACTGGAGTATCGATATCTCAGTGTAATCACAAATAAAATCATCTTTATTAAAGTATACTGTATTTGTGAATCTTATTGTAACTGACTATCTTGTTGCAGGAATTATTTATTGAAGTTCAAGCATTTTGCATTGAATTTAGCCGAATCCGTGAAGCAGCTGCCCTCTTCAGGCTCCTCAAGCAGCTAGACTCAGGAGACACTCAAACTACACAAGAACCTGCAAAGAAATGAAACCACATGATGAGTTGCTTCCAGCTCTCCAGAAACATATCAGATATGATGACACAGACACCAAGATGACAGGAAGCAAAGCCAGCAACTGGGTACTTCAGAATCTTCATATTTTTTTATTTTTTATTAATAACAAAAAAGATAAATATTTGGATTATGGAATTTTGATATCAGATTTGAGATGCCAGGCAGAGGTACTCATACTTATTTAAGACTGAATTACTGCTAAATTTTTTGGGGATAATTTGATCATTTAAACAATGAATTGACCAACAGTTTGTCATCTATCATTACCTAAAAGAGAAAAAGAATTGACATTTCATTTTGTCATCTTGTCATCCTGTACAAAAACATGATATTCATTCTCATTAAATCACTTTCTTTTTAGGATACAAATTGTACCAGCCTACAATCTATGCAGAAACACTTAATTATCAGTCATAAAAAATCAGAAATCTAGTTAATTCAATTCAGTAAAATGTTGGTTTCATGAAACCAAAGGATCATTGTAATTACTTTCACTTTGTCAGGAATCCAAGAGAATGGTGATGGTATTTGCATATTTGCTTACAGTTTGCATATTTGGTTAAGGTTAGAGGCTATATGTGCACCACAATATTATACTGTACTGTCATAGTAAATAGTAAATATGTACACCAGGCCATACAAAACAACATATGCCCTTACATCCACAGTTCAATATCCTAAACCATGATCCTCAAGAAAAACTCCATGCAAGGTAGACGACTGTGAAGGATGTTGTTAACAATAAGAACACACTATTGCTCCCTGTATGTTCCTATTGTACAGTTAGTGTCAGTTTATTAATGGAGAACTTTGAATTTTATTTTGATGTACTGTATTACCATAAAACTGTGGTGCCATAGTACTGCTGTTGTCACCCTTGACAGTCATACCCTGAGACATGTGTTCAGTTCTGCAAGCGGGCAGAATGGGAGGGACATTATTGTTCATGTGTATACAGAGCCAACAGACACAAGTCCCAGAATAACTAATCCTACAGACCTGGGAATTGGCATATAGACTGTTTACTTTTTCTACAACAAAACCTCCAGACAGCGGGAATCTTAGTAGTATTATAAGAGCCCTTATTTATAACACTTAATCACAAGGCCATAATGATATTTTTGCATTTGGGAGAGAATTCCTGAACTAGTCATGCAGGTCTCGAATTTTAGCAATCTGCATAATAAAAAATATTTATAAAGTATATTTTGAATGTTGGGAATATATGGTCAGATTGAATAATAGTACAGAAAACCGGAAAAGTATATTGGAAATAAAAAATATACCAAGAAAGTGTTTGAGAATCAAGTTTCAGGTACTTAACTGGTTAATTTAGAATACGAGGTCTGTCCGGAAAGTATCCAGCCATTTACTATTAGAAAAAATATTGCTTACCTAGGACAGTGGCGCCTTAGTCCCCTTCTAAGTACTCCCCTTGGGACCTCACACACTTCTCCCAGTGTCCCTTCCACTTTTCATAACAGTCTGCAAAGTCCTCTTTCGGGATCTTCATCAGCTGCCTCATCGCATTCTCCTTAATCTCGTCCACGGTCTGAAATCTCCTCCCTTTCAACGGCGATTTTAGCTTTGAGAAAAGCCAGAAGTCGCAGGGAGCCAAATCTGAGCTGTAAGGGGGCTGAGAGACCTGGGTGATGCGATGTTTTGCCAAAAAACCCTGCACGAGACGTGAGGAATGGACAGGCGCGTTGTCATGATGAAGCTGCCAGTCACCACTTGCCCACAGCTGCGGTCGTTTTCTTCTTACCACATCCCTCAGCCGGCGAAGAACTTCGATGTAGTACTCCTTCGTTATTGTTTGGTCATTGTAAATGCGACGGTCACACAGGACCCACGCTAACTCAACGGCGTCTGCTGGTCAACTGAGTTGTCCCACGGGAGTGTGGCTGTTCATGCATGCGTTGTACGGTCCTCTCTGAGTGACTGCCAAGTTACATCAAGGCCGTACGACCAATTTTCACAATATTCACAATGGCTGGGTACTTTCCGGACAGACCTCGTATTATTCTTTTCTCTTTGGTTGACATTGTTGTTACATTAGAAAGGAATTTTACTATCAGACTATGCACTTGTGAGGTCCTCCCAGAAGCCTTATAGTGTATTCATATTGGATTTCTAAATTGTTTTATTTTGATAATATTTTGTAGTGGTAACTGAATAATTCCTGTTATAATATCAATACATATTAGAGGTTACTGATAACAACATTATGACTTTATGTCTGTAGATGGTTCAGAGCAACATTTGCTTATTTTATTTATATTCTCCTAAACACATAACCTATTACAGGTAGGGACCATTTATCTGGCATGCTTGGGACCTAGGGGTTGTTGAATAGGTTTTTTCCAGAATTTGGAGTGCCAGGCCTAAAATGTACAGTAAACCCTCTGTAACTGGCTGTGAAGCCTTTGTTTAGATCACTAGATTCGCCCCTACAAGTAACTTTAACTATACACTGTTACATTATTATTTAAAATTGTAGGCATATAAATAGCAGTAATGAAAGTATATACAGAGGGTCCCCAGGTTACGAATGGGCTCCGTTCCTGAGGAGGTTCGTAAGTCGGATTTGTACGTAAGTCGGAACACATGCTATATGCATGCTGTACTGTACTTACAAAATAATGTTTAAAATCCGACTATAGCCTGAGTCCTTATATACATAAAAAATCACTTAATTTAAGACAAAAGAAGAAATAGAATGAGAAAATGCAGTAAATGAAAGTGAAAAATAAGACATAGGGAAACAAAATACTGTACTGTAAATTTTAAGTTTAACCCCGTTCGTATCAGTGGGCGTTCGTAAGTCAGTGACCCCCTGTGCAGTAAAAAAAATAAATAAAAAATAATAATAATTCGTACCCCAAATTTGAAACGCTCACAATTCGTAATTTTTTGCCAGCCATTTTAAAGTGAATTACAAATGAAAATTTTGTCTGTGTACTGACTTTGGGACTCAAAAGTACATAATTTGACCACATTTTGGTACGACTGAGGCGGTCGTAAGTGAGGGTGGACGTAAGTCGAGTCGGTCGTAAGTCGGGGACTACTTGTATATATATATATATATATATATATAATTTTTTTTTTTTTTTTTAATTTCAAAATGTGAGAGACATTTTCAAATATTTATGATGTACATATCGCCATGGGATGCGACTGCCGACTGACTGCATCAGTGTAAACAAGTACAGTACTGTGTGTGTCACGCAAGTTGGTCATGGTCAGCTCACATAGGTCAATCGTGAAGTGTACATTGAAGGTCTACCATGCAAGCTTTTTCCCACTTGTTTTTCCATCAGTGCCCATTGTTTGGGCCATTATGTCTGATGCTGTAGCTCTGGACCAAACACCTAAATATACTGTACAGTACTTAGAAACGTTTAAATTTTGATTGCGGCAGATAACTTAAAAGTGCTTTTTTTCCCATCTGGAGAAGGTGTCCCTCATATTTCGTAAAATCTCATAATTCATAAGGGCTAGAGCGCCTATTATTTTGAATTATGGGGATTTTATTGTAAATAGTATAATATAATGAAATCATAAAAAGAGCAAAAGTTAGACAGATTAGTGTACAAACTGCATCACAGTTGCCCCTGATATTCGCCTTAGCAATGCAACAGCGTCCTTAGCAACGGTGCTCCGCCACTAGCCCTCCGACCTCTCCACACACTCACCACACAGCTTCATGGATGTAAACCAATTGATACTTAAAACTTTATACCTTATGATAATTATTTTGTTTTTTCTTTTTGCACTTTGTTTATACACTGTACAGTTAACCCTCACTTTACGCGGTTAATGTAACCCGGAGGGTACCGCGGAAAGTGAGAAACGCGTAAAGTGAATAACATAACATATGGGATTAATTGAAATGGAGTCCGGGCCGATCCCCAAACTCCACTTTTTGACGACACACAACTATGTTGTAGTAAAAATTTTATCTTAACTTTATGATGGTATGAAAAAACAAGTAATATAGAAGAGGTTAGGTTAGGAAAAATAAAGGTTAACATAGGAAAAATAAAGGTTAGGTTAGAAAACTAAAACTTAGGTGGAACACTTACGGTAGTAGAAGAGATGGGTCGGCATACGGGGATGGAGGCTGGTTCCGAGGCAGAGGGCTGATTACTGGCCCTCAGGTGAATCACCATTACTAGGTGAATCACCATCACTAGGTGAATCACCATCACTGTCCCTTACAGTTGTCAGGGCTTCCCTGACAAATCCCTCAAAGTCATCTTCATTGTCACTATCACTGGCTTGGGCTGGCTGTGGTGGGTTGCGGGCAAAGAAATCTGTTATGCTTTGCTGACGGCTGGCGTTGATGTTGTCGTGATACACCTTGATGTACGGCTCCATAGCCTGCACCAGCCGGGTATGGAAGACTTCATAGCGGTCATCGTCATTGTCGCGGGAAAGGAAGGACTTCATTTTCTCTGCACACTCCATGGCACCCTTAATATCACTATGACTTAAACTGTGTTCTTCGGAGAATGACGCACCTTCTTCCTCCTCTTCACTGACGTGTTCTTCTTCCAACATCTCGTCGGCAGTCACTTCAGGATCTCTGATCACCTCCAGGATGTCGTCGTTGGTGGTCTCGGAGAAGCCTGGAACTGTAACAGTCTGCGCAGCTTCTCTGGCAAGGTCCACTGCTACTGCAACATTCTGAACCTCACCAGTCACAGATTGACTCCTCCTCTCACCTGGTATTCCATGCAACACATGTCTCCATGCGTGACGAATTGTAGCAATAGACAGCTGATCCCATGACTCCACCAAAAAGTCCACAGCTTTCTTGATGTTAAATACTCTCCAGAATTGTTTGAACAGTATTTTTTGCTGTTCCAACTGTTGATCCTCCTCTTCTTCGCTCTTGCTATCGGTGGTGGTGTCACTCAGGTTACGCAACTCTTCCCTGGTGTTGGTGTAGTCGTTCAGGAGCTGGAATTTTTTTGTTGAGAATGCAGCTTTTACATTACAGATTAACTCTTAGTCCATGGGCTGTAATATAGACGTAGTGTTGGGAGGAAGGAAGACCACTTTTACGTTGGGGTGACGATCTAACAGTAGGGGCGAGTGTCCTGGTGCGTTGTCCAGCAGCAACAAAATATTGAATGGCACATTCTGTCGCTCACAGAATTTTTTTACATCGGGAACAAAACAGTCATCAAACCAGGAGAGGGACAGTGTAGAGAACATCCACGCCTTACGTGCGGTCAGCCAGTGGACATTTAGCTTGGTCATGTCCATGGTTTTGTAGGCGTGCGGCTTGCGTGCTGTGTGGATCACCGATAACTTGAGCTTACAGGTACCGGAGGCATTGGTGGTAAACAGGACGGTGATGCGTTCCTTCTGCATCTTCCGGCCCCGAATCCTGCTGGCATTCTTTACAACGAAGGACTTGGAAGGTAGCTTTTTCCAGAAAAGACCAGATTCGTCCATGTTAAACACCTGGTCGTCACTGTACTGTCCTTCCTCCATAATCTCACGTAAAAACGGAGGAAATTCCCGAGCCGCAGCACGGTCAGCACTCGCTTCTTCACCACCAATGTTTATATTGGTGATCTTGTTCCGGATCTTAAACCTCTGTAACCACCCAGAGGAAGCATTAAAGGGTTTGGGCTCTGTAATTCCCATCTTTCGTGCCACTGCGATGTACAGTTCACGTGCGTAGTCCTTAACAGAGCGCGTGTCGACCGCCATGTTCCGTCGCGCCTGACGCACCAAGTACCTCACAAGTAATTTTTCTGTCTTGAGAAGCACCTGGTTGTGAAAATACTTGATCATAGAAGCACCTGTAGACTTTGTGATCTTCATGTGCTCCTTTATCTTGGCTGCATCCTTCTTTATTGTTCGAATCGTAGATTCATTCACACCATGCTGGCGCGCCAAATCAACCTGCCTTGTTCCTTTCTCCAACTCTTGGATGATGGTATACTTCACCTCGTAGCTTAAGGAACGTCGTGTCTTCTTTGGCTTAGTGCCGCTGGGTCCAGGTAAGGAAAGGTTTCTCTCTGGGGGTGGTGGTCCGGCGGAAGCCATTTTACGGAACAATGGATGCGCGTTTACACGGTGTGGCCTTGAGGGATGAAACTGCCGCGGCTAGGTCAAGCGTCGTCTTTCCTCCCTCCCTCCCTCCCCCGGGTGGACACGTCATAATACTTTAAGCCAATTACAGCTAGCAGCAGAGGGGGGTAGGGATGCATGGCCAATCACAGGTCTGATACGTCATATGACGTCAGTGATAACGCAACAAAGACACACACTGCGCAACCTTACCGCGCCGCTTGCCCAAGCGGAGGGAGGAGGAGGGAGAGGCGAGGAGCACAGGCGGGCGGGTGGGGCGAATCTAAAAATAGCGTCGCGCCGGACACTCTCCGCGTAATGGGGTTCACGTACCGCGTAATTTGAGCACGTGAGGTTCTGGCAAGGCACCGCGTTAACGTGGAAACGCCGAATTCGGGACTGCGTAAAGTGAGGGTTAACTGTATAGGATTGTGTGTGCATGTAACTGAGTAAAAAAAAATATAAGAAAAATTATTTGTATCTACCCGAAATAACAAGATGAAAGATACTTTTGTACCATATGATAATTATTTATTTATTTTGTTTTAATTTTCTGTGTGTAAGATTGAGTGTGTATGTAATTGAGTAAAGAAAAAGAAAAAAATTTCTTTTGTCTACCTGAATTACGAGTTGAAAATTAACCATAACATAACATATACCGGTAGCTCACAGGTGGGGAATGGTTGGAAATATCCCTGCTCAGCCCGGGAATTGCTTTTAATAATTTGTTCCAGAACATAGGTGGTTTTTGGAGCGCTCCAGATACCGGGATGCCGGAAAAATGGTTCCTTTCCTTTAGTAAGGTTTTTTAATAGTTTATAACACTTGAAAATTTATTTAAAGTTACATGAGTGTATAATTATTAATGAATTATATATATATATATATATATATATATATATATATATATATATATATATATATATATATATATATATATATATATATATATATATATATATATATATATATATATATATATATATACTTGTATATATATACTGTATGCATATATCACTGGGAAGTGCTGAGCTGGCAGTACAGTACAGGTCCTCTCTTGGTGTGAGGTGTGGACTCAGGATGCAAAGGGAGGAAGAAATTAGAAACACTGAAATAATATTCTTGAGAGCAATATGTGGGGGTAATTATGATGCAGAGAAGAAGGATTATATATGTGAAATGTTTTTTGAATGACAGATTTGTTGAAGAGAGATGACCAGTGTTTTGATATATTGAAAGAATTGGAAATGAAAGATGATTGCACAGTATAATTGAGAGTTAGTTGGTAGAACGGACATGGAAAGGATAATAGAACGACACACTAAAAATTGACAGGGGTGACCACCAGGAAGCGGCTGTGCGTGTATGTATGTATGGGTGTGTATGCGTGTGTGTGTGCACACAGGAGAACGCGACAACAAGTGGTTTATCAGGATGTCACGCCAGGATGAGTGAATGGACGGTAATCCATAAAAGGAGAGTGTGTTTACTCCAGGAAGGTTTACAAGAGGGAAAATAAAAATATCTCTGGGTATTAAGTTTAGTGTTGGACTTAAATGCCAGCTTCTCTTCATTTTTATCTCTCAAATTATTACCTCAGTTTTGATGTATATTTAACAGACATATTTCCTTACACATGTAGCTTGTTACTATTATTGACATTTAGCTGTTATTGTCAGTCATGCATTAAGATTATCCTGTCTTGTGTGTGCCAGATACTGTACATGTGCAACTGACAGATTGACAATAATTCCATGTTCCTGTCAAATGTTAATAAAAGAAATTAAATTAAAATTTTTGAATTGTATTATTGGTCACACCTTTCCCAAAGCCTATTTCCTAAGTGTCATAGACCTTCATCTTATAATTACAGCAAATCAATATACTTAGGCATTTATATCATTTCCCATCTTCTCGGCCTTATTCAATCTTACTACAATATATCCTT